TTGAAGAATACTTATCTGAAATTTCTTGAGAAGTCACTAAGACTCTGCTATCAGTCATCTCATTCAGCTCATTATCTTGATTTATAAATATCTTATAGATAGACAGTATTGATGAGTAAATCAGTGTATCTGTAGATTCATCTCTCTGCTCATTATTATAGCTAATTATTATTGAGTTATCTATAATAATTAAGTCATCTGAGATGAGGCTGAAGTTAGTATATTGATAGAATATAGCTGAATGAGTCTTGAGATGAACCTCTACTTTCATCTGTCTGATATATATAAAGCTTAAATTCAGAGATGCTTTTTACAGTTATATCTGTCTTTATCAATATATTACAGTAGTCACTGAAAGAATCATGAAGATCTGATTTATAAAGAACTGTGATATAATTGATAATATTTCTCTGACTTCTATCAAGCAGTTTAATTTTATTATCTGACAAAATCTTCTTCAGAATTCTGTCAAAATCATTTTATAAATTATTGAGTGACTGAAAGTGTTGACTTATATAAAAGATGAAAGATGAAGTAGATGAAGATAGATAAAAGAGTAAAGAGTGTCTGAGCTGTTGTAAGAGATGAGATAGAAAAGAGAAAATATTAATAATAAAAAAGAGTCTCTATGCTGAGGAATTGAAAGATGTGAGAATTGTAGTAAGTTTCAGATTCTGTGATTTGAGAGAATTCAGAAGATTTGATGATCAGTAGAATTGAATATTATTTATAATAACTATAGATATTCTTTACTCTGTATGAATGTGTGTATATACTTTTTCATAAAATTTGAGATTTAGAAAGATATAATTCTTATTCTGCAATTATTGCTTCTGAAGAGAAAAATCTGACTATTTTATAGAGTAATAATCAGAGAAGCTCAACTGCTGACAGAGTGTGATGAACAGTCATTCTCATCTCACTTTATAGATAGACTCAGTATTTTTGAAAAACCTCATCTCTACAGTTCAATCAGAGAATCAACTATCTACTCAATGAAAATCAATGATAATAAAATATATAATAATATAAATTGTTGAGTCTGAGTTTTTCTGAATTATATTATCAATGAGTTCAGAGTTACAGAGCATCAGAAGTTTGCTGAAGACTATAAATTCAGAGAGATATTTAATAAAACTGTGTATTATTTTAATTCTAAATATTCATGAATATAAATGCAGATGATCATGAAATTGTAGAGTCAACAATAAATGAATTGAATATAATGAATATATATAATGACTTGAATACTTTTGAATTATACAGAGAGCTTCATTTTATTATCATATAACTGCTGTATCTCTGACTTACTTTATCAGCTGAAGTCATCTCAGTATTTAACTCATCAATGAATAAAATCATGGATCTGATAATGATTCACAGTATAAAGCTGAAAAACCATGTCTGAATACAAGAGATACACAGTCAATAACTGCAGAACAGTCAATGTAATCATTGAAATCAGTCAGAGATTCAGTCTCTCAGTCATCTTCTAGTGTACAGCTGTGTTTCTCATCATCTCACTATATTACAGATAGAATATCAGATCTATATAATCTCAGATTTCATCAATCTGAGGGATTTTTGTCATTAATCAATAGCATAATGAGTATATATTCACAGTTGCAGATGCATATCTCTCATATCATATCTCAGTATACAGCTGCATTTCTTGTAATCTCACTATATCACAGATAAGAGTGTTGAATAAAGACAATCTCAAACTTCATTATTATGAGGGATTTTTGTCATTGATTAATAATATAATACATATACACTGAATGACAGTCTGAATAGAAAAAGAAGAAGAAAAATGAAGATAATATAAATGAATCACAGAAGTAACAGAGCAAAAGAGTATAGTTTGAGATATCTATAAACAAAGAAACAACACAAGATGAGTGAGAAAATAAAGAATTCAGATATAATGTATATAGTTGTAATTCTTCAGACTCATATAATCTGTTGAGAAAATAGAAAAAAATGAAAGATACAGATCTGAGAGATTTGAAAAGAGCAGAGAGATTATTTTTCTCTGATAAAAAAAATATAATAATGAAATAATTTGATAATAGAGATTGACAGATTATTTCTGACTGAAACAGTGAACTGAGAAGATAGAAAGAGATAAGTGAAAAGAGAGAAGAAGAAAGTAGAATGAAAAGAGTGAGACAGAGGAGAAAAATTGAGAAGATGAAAGATATATGAATAAAATGAAAAGAGAAGTGATCTTATATAGATATTCTGATATATATTGATAATGTAACTTAGAGTGATGAGGTCAGAATACATCAAATCTGAAGAGATGATGACAGAGCTCAGTGAGTCAATGAATGATATCTGTGACTGCAGATTAGATTCATTTAAGAATGCTCAGAAGGCAAGGGTCATATGCAGCTGTGTACTCATCATTCAATTATTTACTCAGTTTAAAAAGAAAGAGAAAATATTTCTACTATAATAAAATATTAAAATTAAAAAATCAAATGATAAATTGAACTTTAAAAAGCTAGAACTTTTTGAAATTTTACAGAAAACTAAATCAATTAATTACAGATTTCAACTATCAGATACAATATAAATACATCTGAATTTTTATATTTTATTACTGAAAAAAGTATCTGAAAATACAAGATAATATAGAATAGAAATCAATAATAAAGAAATAGAATATAAAGTTAAGAAAATACTGAGAAAACAAAAAATTAGCAACAGAAAATATTATTTAATAAAATAAAAAAAATATAATATCTCAGAAAACATCTAAGAATCTATAAAGAATTTGAAGAATATAAAAAATATAATTTAATATTTTCAACAGCAGAAATCACAGAAGAATCAAGAAAATTTAAAAAAATAATATTATTGAAAAAAATGAGATAATCAGCAATATTAAAAATAGAAAAATTAATTTTAATAAAAGAAATAAAAGATTTTTCTTCATCTAAAAACTTAAAAACTTTCAGATTTTTTTGAAGAAATTTAAATTAATAATTTTTGAGAAAATCTGCATTTTGTTTTAACTGTTTCAATTTTATAATAACTTTTAACAGAGAATTACTCAGTTTATTCAGATAAATATTCAATTTATTCACTAAATTCTCACTTATTTAAATATTTAATTTCATCTTTTTTTTAATACAATTCAGTTTCAACCACTCTTCTTCAGAAATCAACTCTTGTTTACAATAATGATTATAATAAATACATTTTAAATATTTCTTATATAAAAAAAGAATATAATATATAATATCAAATTTAAAATAGTAATTATAATAAATAAATATAATGAAACTCTGAGCAATGATAATATTAGTAAAATAAGTTTGATGAAGAGAGAAAGATATTATACTGTAATTCAGATAAAAAAATCTTATTTATAGAAAATATAAAAAAGAACTCAGTCATTTATTTATACATTTACTGAAATAGTTTATAAAGAAAAAAAGAAAATAATATTATAAATCTGCAGTATAAATCAGAGCTTATTGAATAAAAACTGAAGAGATACAGAAATAGAATAATTTTCAATTAAAACTAGTATAAAATTATATAACTGCTCACTCTGATCACTGTATTTATTATAATTACTGATAAATAAAGTAAATAAATGAGCAGAATGAATAAGATAATTTATATAAAAACTCAAATATATTTAAATATACTTATTACTCTTAGAATCAAAGAGTTTATTTTCTTGATTATAATCAATTATTATATTTTCTTTAATCTTATTACACATCTTTATTTATACTCAAATTATATAGTATAATTATAAATTTATTTTATAGTATATTTTTTTATAATATATATTTTAAGCATTCACTCATCTGTAAGCTCTACTAGATATTTTTATTATCTATTTTAGATTATCACTGTAGCTATTACTAGTTATTTTAGATATTTCTTTTGATATTATATTTTAATCTGTGATAGTGATACTATCTTCTAATTTAGTAAATAAGCTCAGCAATATTCTATAAGATCTGATCTTATTTTATAATCAGTAAAAAGCTTGCTAGATTAGAGACTTGATAGTAATTTATATAGCTGCTTTTCATAATCATCTTTATTAGTATAGAAGATATTATTAATATTTTATATAAAATTATTTTATTAACTTTGAGAATAAGACTAATAAAATATAGATCTTGAAGATTTATTAAAATTATATATATACTAGAATCTAGATATATTACTAACATTCAGCTTACATTATTTCTCATCATCTATACTATAAATAAATATTAGAATTATATATTAAAAACTAAATAGAGTTAGTTAAATATTAGAATCTTTCTAGAAATATGAAAAAATCATTGTTATTTGTGTAATGAGATATGTAGTAAACTTAAGCTAGTAATTAGTATAATAAGTTCTAAATAAATACTGCTATAATTAATAATAAAAATCTTATCAAAGATTTTTTCAGTCAGTATTTTAAAATCTATTGTTCTGAATCTGAAAAGAGGAGAAATTGTTGAGTAAAAGCAGCATTCTGATATAACTGAGTTTAAGTTAGTGATATCTTAACATTACAGAGAAGGGGTTTCAAACTTATTGCCGGAGACTGTAATCTATCACTGCCAATCTATCTACCGCTGTCAATCTATCTACCACTGCCAATCTATCTACCACTGCTAATCTATCACTGCTGCCAATTTATATAGAGTAAATCATGATTCTATTTGATTCCATTTTTACAAAATGAGATTAAATGAAATCAGAATCACTAATTTATTAGTAAAACATGATCTGAGACTAGATTTATAATATAAACAGTGTAAAGCAACTAATTTACTAAACATTATATGAGACTAGAACTAAGATATCTAATAATGAAACTGAGGAAAAATTTGGTCTCAGTTCCATGCATGGTCACACAGCCAGTCTATATATTGAGAAAAAGATGTCTTATCAAAAATAATAATTATTTTAATCTTGCATTGTTTTTTAATCTTACAGAGTATTTTATAATTTTTTAATCTGATAATTTTCAATTTTTTTTTTCATTTTCCTCTCTTTAAATAATTTTTTATGAATAAAAATAATTATACAATTATAAATGATACAAATAAAAAGGAGTAAACTGCAACAAAAGACAGGTACTAACAGCGTCATAGCGATTGAACAATAAAGAATAGCAGAAAACAAACAGCTATTGACCATTCATGTGAATAATTGAATCCCGCCAGGCTGGTATAAATGCATTGTATCGAAGATATTCAGCATAACTGGATTCTCCTTCTTCATTAGGAATATCCCCACCATATATTTCATCAATCCACAAACTGCCACTCTTTTCCAAATATTGATTGATTGCTTGTTGGAAATTGATATCGTTATCGGGACCAGTCTCCGTAGGGCCATCCCCAAGAGGATGGTGCTTGTCAAAATCATGGTGGGCTCCATCCCGTAAAGACTGGGGCTCAGTGCTGTAACTGCAAAAACCAAGATCCCTCCCTCCTCTGCTATTCTGTTGTCTTGACGGATAGACGGAGCGAGAGGGGGAGAAGGAGCTTCGACCAGACCCGCGAAACCGTTGACGGCTACCGCTTTTCTCTCCCGGCGTTTCTGAGCGTATGAAGTTTCTCCATAAACCATATTGATTCACCGGGAATTCGTGCCGACCGGGCTTTCGATACGGAGTGAACTGTTGGTACAAGGATGCCATCAGATTGTGAGCATCCAGTAGAACTGGAGAAGGATTTGGAACAGTCGATTCAAAACTAATGTAATCAATAACTGCAGGTGCAGAACCGATGACGCCCGTACTCATTGGTGGTACCACGGACTTGGAACCATCCTCTGAACAGTCTATGCGCCGGGCATGCCAATGATTTCGCTGGAAGGGTTCTTCAACTAGCCACTCAAAACACATGCTCAGCTTACGCCCAGTTTCCATTGCATCTAAATAATCACAACGTAGAAGTGGGTAGACAGTGTGCTTCGAATTCGAGTAGAACAATCGGAAGTAGGCCTGGTCATAGACCAATTCAATCTCATCCAGCAGGAGAAGCAGATTGTCTGGGTTATTTGAATCTTGTGCTGAACACTCATTCCACACCATATTGAATTGTTCTTGGGAAAGTATGAGGGCAAGGACCAGCCACGCAAAGACTCCTGACCCTTCATCACTGAAGACGCACATACGTTTGGGTATGATGTGCGCTGCAATGCAGTTGGCAGCCATGAAGGAGCCGGTCCTTCCGATAAAGCGGGCTCCGGTCAACTCGCATGCTCCTCCAGTTCTCGAAATGACTCTAGATTTGTAAACTCCTAGTTCTGTAGGAAGCCCGGGGGGCTTGGCAGGAGGCGTAAAGACATGGTCCCCAAGAATGTTGATCGTTGCTATCATTGTATCGTGTGCTCGTTTCATCTCATCCCTTTGGATTGAATTATACGCGGTATGTAGCTCATTAGTGGAATGAAACATGGCATTAATACCCCAGTTGATGCCGTTTGTAAGACTGTCGAGATAGGGTATGTTGCTTGCTGATACTGCGGAATGTATGTGGTCTAGGAATTTCTCAGCTCTTGCTGCATTGTTCATGTGTTTTGCAATGATAACAAAAGAAAAATCATATGAGTAGCGTCCGTGCGTTGACATCTGTGACGAGAACTTCAAGATGGCATTCTGAAAGCGAGCTGTGTCCAGTATGTATGTGTTTTTCTCTTCCTCAAGAACCGATCGATCGCCTTGTATGAAGAGCTTTTCCGCGTCAAGTTTCTCACGTTCAACATAGCTGGGGGGAAGCCCAGCAAACACAGATTCCAATGCCATCGACGCCTAAGAAGGTCATCAGTCACACGAAGTACAGGCATTACAACTTTGGGAATAGCATATGTGGAATATAACAAGTCCCCAAATACGCCATAAAGTGTCGTGATTGAGTACTTACTTATGAGTCTAGTCAAATATTGAATGATATATCACTAAAACTGCACACAGACGCGTGAGTTGAGGTTGTAGCCCGTGGGGCGCGAGTAGCGAGGTGAATCTGCGAGAACAACTGCTAAAGCAAGATGAGGTGGCGATGGGCTCAGGGTGACCACAGACACAAAAGAAATTTGAAATGAGACACAAAATGCTGTCAAGAGGCCTACTATCGTGGAGATTTGCGTTTCAACTGGCTATTAAACGGAGTTCTCTGATAAAGACGAGGATGTGGAGATAAACGCAAGAGTGGCCTGAAACAAAAGTGAAAGAATTGTAACACTTGACAGATGAGTCCACGACGAGGAAAATTCACCACATGAGTTGGGCGCCACATGACTCTGTGGCGAGCAAGCCGGCGATCGGATTATCTATTATCCTTGTATGGGTTAAGGCCACCTTCCCATTATAATTAGTTTGTAAATATACCTTTACGATCTGTGCCTGCCTTTTTTTCACATTTGGCTCCTCCACTGTCAACTTTACTGGGGACTGACTTCCATCTGATGTGAAGCTATGTCAATGAAATCAAAAGGCAGATGATCTGCAATTTATAGAGATGAGTAAAATATATATACACTACTGAGTCTCTAATCTAATAAACTGTAATAGATTAACATCTATTAGTAGCTAACTTATATAATCAACTCTCTACTGTATGTTCATATACTTACATACATCACTTATAAAGCTTTTCCACACTCTCTCATAATTTCATCTTATAATTATATATATTCTTAATATTCTAATAATTCTTTTACTTTATACTTTTTCAAAGTATAATTTTTAATATTTCTTCTACTTTAATTTCTTTATCTATAAAAATTTTTTCTATGCAATTATTTCTTCTGATTTCTTTTCTCTTTTTTTTAATTACTTTATAATCTGTTATCAGAATAGTGTCAAGTTTGTTAATAGACTGTGAAGTTCAACTTTACCATCTTCTCACAGTGCAGTCTGATAATATTATCTGATGATAATAATCAAAAGCAGAGTGATTGTTATGAATGTCTGATCTTCAAAATATTTAAATCTTTTAATATAATCAATATATTTAGATATAAAAGTTAATAATAAAATTTTTAAATTTTTAAATAATATATTTAGATATAAAATCTAATAACTAGATACTTAGATTTTAAATATAGATAAATTAATTTATAATATAATAAATATATTATTAATTAAATAAATATTATTATTATTATAAATTAAATTATTTATACTATCTGTATAGTTTATATAATTTATTTCAATAATATTATTAATAAATTTGATATTATTCTGATAATAGTTTATAAATCAATTTAAAAAAAAAGAAATCAGAGAGAATAATTGTATAAAAAAGTTTTTATAAATAAAAGAATTAAAATAGAAGAAATATCAGAGATTATATTTTAAAGAAATATAAAATAAAAGAATTATTAATATATTAAAAGTATATACAATTATAAAATAAAATTATAAAAAGATATAAAGAGTTTTATAAATATATATAAGTATATAAGCATACAGTAGAGAGTTGATTGTATAAGTTAACTACTAATAAATACTAATTTATTATATAATTAATCTTATTTCATTTATATTTGAATAATTTTAATCATTTTACATTTTTATTCTGATTCTGATTTCACTAAAATCATGTTAAAAATTGAACTGAAATTAAATTAAATTAAATTAAATATAAAATTTATAGCTTTATCAATCAGTTTAAATTAAATCAAATTAAATATAAAATTTATTATTTCATTAATTAGTTCAATAACTAATTGATACTAATCTTTTTAAAAAATTGAAAAATATATTATAACAGTTTTTCTCTGTTTTTTCTTAATTTTTTTAATAATAAAATTTACTGAAAATTTCAGTTTCAGTGATTTGATAAAAATTATATTATATGATGAGTTAGTATCTATTAGCAGTTAACTTATACAATCAACCCTCTATCACACACTTATATACTCATATATATTCATAAAGTTCTCTTATATCTTCTTATAATTCTACTTCACAATTGTATATATCTTAATACTCTAATAATTTTTCTGTTTTATACTTCTTCAGAATATAATCTCTGATATTTCTTCTACTCTAATTTTTTTATCTATAAAAACTCTTTTATACAATCTCTTTCTCTGATCTTCTTTCTCTTTTTTTTCTTAATTAATTTATAAATTATTATCAGAATAGTGTTAAGTTTATTGATATTGTTATTAAAATGAATTGTATAAACTGTACAGATGATATAAATAATTTAATCTGTAATATCAGTAATATCTATTTAATTAATAGTATATTCATTACATTATAAATCAATTCATCTGTATTTAAAATCTGAATATCTAGTTGTTAGATTTCTATATCTGAATATATTGATTATATTTAAGATCTGAGTATCTTATTATCAGTTCTTATATTTAAATATATTGATTATATTAAAAAAAAGATCTAAATATTTAATTATTATATAAGTTTCTTATTGAATCTGAGTGCTCTTATTGTTAGATATATAGATTGTTAAATTTAAATATTTATAATATAATCAACTGTTTTATAAAGAGATCTGAGTATCTACAAACTGTAATACTGTGAATAGTATTTATAAAAAAGCTTGATAAACTTAGTACTGTAATACTGTGAATAGTATTCGTAAGAATCTGAGTATCTATAAATATCTTATCTTCTAGAATTATATATCTTTAGATACTGAAATGAGTTATCAACAGATCTATAAACATTTACTGTATTTGAATATAATAAATAATAATCTAAATTTATAAAGTATTCTTCAGCAGTAAATACTGTAGATAACTGAGTTATAATAATAACTTGCTAAAATAAATATATCTATATTTACTATTTTCTCTACATCTACATCTCATAAGAAGTCTTTGAGAGAGAAGTTCTCAATTCTTGATAAATACACAGAAGATTTAGTATTATATCTTATATAAAAATCAAAAATAAATATTAAGTTAAATATTAATAATCAAGCAATAGACTTATTATCAAATCAAGTGTGATATATTCACAGTAGATTAGATAGTGATATATTAGCAAAATTTCAACTCTGAATAAATCACTGTCTAAATAATTAATATATATTAGAACTAGT